TGTTGTGTGTGTACAGGCTGGACTATGGGTGTCGCTTGGCATGCTGATACTGGGCTACTTTGTAGTCGTTCTCACCGTCTTGTCCATCTCCGCTATCTGCACGAACGGTGTTGTGCAGGGTGGCGGTGCATACTATATCCTCATAGTACTGCAGGGGGTTATAGGGCTGTTACACGCCCGCTTGTTTGAGGGACCTATCCCCTCTGCCCTGACTCACTTGTGAGGTCTGCATTTGACACTAGAATATAATGGGCGAAGTGGTGGCCCTCCGATGCGGACGTCTTTGCTCGATGTGTTCCTCAACACGTCGGGTGATACGGCCACGAATCCGGCTAACATTACTTTTTGTACTGCTGCTAATGCTGCTGATAATGCGAATGCTGCTGCTAATGCTAATGCTAATGCTGCTAATGCTAATGCTGCTAAGGGGTCATCGCATAAGTTTTTTGTCGTCCCTGAAACGAATATCATTCGTCTGGGGGAAGGGGGTGCGAGGCAAAATCGTAAATCGACCGACACTGTACACTGTACATGTACATGTATGCGGTTTTCGTCGTCTAGCATAGCAAGCTGCGTTCGTTTCAGAGGGAGGGGAGAGGGGCTGGGTACGAAATGAACGGTGTTCGTTTCAGGGATGACAAAAACTTTTGCGACGACCCTTAAAGCAAGTGAATGTCAGTGTCAATAACCAGCCACTGCAGTAAGAAAAACCCACAGTGTCCGTATCAGGCCCTAGACCAAGGCATGCATGCTGTGTGCATGTTTGTATCATGCATAGACCCAGGTAGACCCAGGTATGCGTGCTGTGTGCATAAGTCACCTGTCCATGAAGACTGTATCTCTGTGCATCATGGTGACTAATGACTTTGTGGGGCTGGTCACTAAATGCAGGTTTTTGCAAGTTTTGCTGCACCACGATATTGTCTTGTGTAGCAGCCTGTTCCGAATACAAGCCTTATTTTCAAGGCGGGCCACTGCCTTTTACAGTAGGCATGGCTTTGGCTGCATACGTACCAGTCATGTACCTGAAGCCTTGAAGCCTTGTTTTCAACTTGTACAGGAATGCCCCGAGGATTTATATGCACTATCACACTTTTTATGTACAGAAGCAACTGAATTGCATGTGCTGGACGTGTGCATTGTACATTGTACACAGGGTGTACTCACCCCCTGTGCATTGCGATGTTGTTCTTGCTGATGGCGCTGCTGCTGCTTTCCTTGACCTTGATACCTCTCGTACTTCTCATATCACGATCGTTGGGACCGGAGTTTGGTGGCTCCATCGGTGTCATCTTCTACTTTGCCAACATCTTTGCATCAGCCCTCTACATCATAGGTATGTACTGTGTATGTAGTAGTACATGTATGCAAGACCTTGCTTATGCAGCAGGAGAAGAGGGCAAGAAGGCGATAGTTGCAACTCTGAGTCCCAAGTGCTGTACAGTCATTATTAAATCACTCTGATCTGTAAGGAGATTTCATCTCTTCTTGCTGTAGGTCTTCTTCTAAATACTCACATTACATGTACTAGCTTGTGAAGTCAATTTCATGCCTTATTGTTATATGCTATTGTTGTCTGTTTTCAGGTTTTGTTGAGGCTTTCGTGAGCTCATTTGGGCCTGGAGGTGAACATGCTGGTAAGCTATGTCAATGTTGCAGCTTGGTTTTGATTTTGATCGGTTTATTGCTTGCTGTAATGAACTGTTAACATGCTCAGCTATTACCTGAAGAAAGAGTTGAGTGATTGCGTGGAATGAAAGCCGCACCTCGAGGCTTTTTTGTGTGTGGAAAATGGGCCTCTCTTTCTGCCCCCTCTCCCCCCCCCCCCTCTCTTCTCTCTCTTTTTCTCTCTCTCACTCTCACTCTCTCTCTCTCTCTCTCTCTCTCTCTCTCTCTCTCTCTCTCTCTCTCTCTCTCTCTCTCTCTCTCTCTCTCTCTCTCTCTCTATCTCTCCCTCCCTCTCTCTCCCTCTCTCTCCCTCTCTCTCCCTCTCTCTCTCTGCCCTCTTTTTACTTCCCATGGTGACAGCAATGTGTATGTCAAAATAATATGGTGATTATTGTGGCTTTTTGTGGATATGTGTGTCTGTGTGCATGTGGTTGGGAGTGTGTGTGTGTGTGTGCTCGTACGTGTGTGTGTTTGTGTCTTCATGTGTGTGTGTGTGTGTGTGTGTGTGTGTGTGTGTGTGTGTGTGTGTGTGTGTGTGTGTGTGTGTGTGTGTGTGTGTGTGTGTGTGTGTGTGTGTGTGTGTTTGCATGTATTTGCATGTATGTGTATGTGTGTTTGCCTGTCGGTATCCAGTTCTGCCAGGTGGCTATGGTTTCAAGTTCTTGTACGGTTCCGTTGTACTGGCGTTATGCTTGGTTGTCTGCCTTCTGGGAGCTGGTAAGTTAACATGGGCCTGTGTATGTCTATGGGTGGGTATACATGTGTGTGTGTGTGTGTGTGTGTGCGTGCGTGCGTGCGTGTGTGTTGCCAGCTAGTTCGGTTGGTAGGTACACTTATGCCTGATTGCGTTGGGTCTGTTGCCAACAGGCTCGGCTGCTTGAAGGTGTAATGTTGTACCTGCCACCTTTGTTGGTTCCAGGGTTCATATACTTTCTATTTGAAGTATACATACCTGTCAACCATGGACTGCTTCTGGCTAGATTAACTCTTTGTGTAATCAATGGTTCTAGTGAAGCTTTTATCAGATCCACTCTGATTTAGCCACTCACACTAGTAGCAAGTATTACCTTCACTGGGGGCAGGGGTAACTGCAGTTGGATCCCGGGACGGATACCCTGATGCCGTCAATCCTTTTTCTGCACCTTGTCCTCACCCACTTACTGAGGTGTGGTGAGCCCATAAGTGGGGTCGTTTTCAAGTCCACCCAGAGTTTTGGGGATTTCAGGGGGTGTCGGTCGTTGGGCGGTTCAATAACCAATTGAGTCATCTTTCCAAGATTCCTTTTGAGTCTCTCTCCCCTCTCCCGGGGGGACTCACGTGACCAGTTTTGGTAGTGAGCAACAAGTACGAGTACAGTGTGTGTGTGTGTGTGTGTGTGTGTGTGTGTGTGTGTGTGTGTGTGTGTGTGTGTGTGTGTGTGTGTGTGTGACCATGGACTGCTTCTGGCTAGATTAACTCTTGTGTAATCAATGGTGCTAGTGAAGCTTATATCAGATCCACTCTGATTTAGCCACCCACACTAGTACCAAGTATTACCTTCACTGGGGGGCAGGGGTACCTGCAGTTGGATCCCGGGACGGATACCCTGATGCCGTCAATCCTTTTTCTGCACCTTGTCCTCACCCACTTACTGAGGTGTAGTGAGCCCATAAGTGGGATCATTTCAAGTCCACCCTAGTTTGGGGATTTCAGGGGGTGTCGGCCGTTTGGTGGTTCAATGGCCAATTGAGTCATCTTTCCAAGATTCCTTTTGAGTCTCTCTCCCCTCTCCCGGGGAGACCCACGTGACCAGTTTTGGCAGTGAGCAAGTACAAATGTGTGTGTGTGTGTGTGTGTGTGTGTGTGTGCTTCCCAGTAGGAGCACACACAGTCTGTGTTTGTATAATTAGGTATACGAGCAGGCTAACAAATGGTCTGGTTGATTTCTGTGTGGATATGGTGTTATGTTCATATGGCAGTGTCTCTGGTGCAATGGTGTGTGGCATATTCTGTATTTTCGACAATGCTGGCCGGGGCGCTTAGTAGTTTCCGAGCCCTAAACTTTCACCCAATTTATGGTCCTTTCGGTGGGGGTAACGACGTCTGTGTGTCTCTATGTGTGTATGTGTGTACAGACCTCTTCGCCAAGACGTCATTCATAATCTTCCTGCTGGTCATGACCTCCATCATGGCTGTGTTTGTAAGTGACAGGTGTCCGTGTTCTCTCGTGTCTGTGCCTGCGTAAGATGGCGCTCAGCCGTAACTCCATGCACATCAGACTCTCCACTGAATAGCTATGTCATGCTGTAGCCTTTCCGGTGTTAGAAGGGCACGTGTATTTTATTTTTACAGAGAGATCCTCCAGTTTGTTAACTTTTGATTGAGTTTACCAGATGTGCCAGTGGCCGCATCAGGCGTATATTTATGAGACAAACCCGTTTTCACACAGGAACAACGTGTCTTAGTTTTATAACTCAATCAGTCGACTATCAAACCGTTTCCCACTGTCGACCCAGTAGCACCAGCGGGGACTTATGGATGGAGCAAAAATCAGTACAGTCCGATATATACATCTATGGAAAGGCATGAGCAAATGTATTTGCAATGACACCTAATTCTTGGTGCCAAGTTATCAATGGAGCTCCAAAGGGTTCAGTTGTTGAAACGCTTCCCCTGAAGTGACAAGTGATATGGTGACTGAGCTACATCTATGCCTGTTGTCTTCAACTGGGCGCCTTTTTTCTCTGCATTCGACTTGCTTATGTGAAACAGGTGATATGGTATCGTTAGCGCTAAATATCATCGCGTGTCTTTCAATAGCTTATTGCATATTGGACTGTTCCGACTGTCCTTGCTTCATTCCCGTGTGTCCGCTGATGAGAATAGATCGAAACGCTCCTCGAAAGTTCTTTGATAGTTGAGGTTTTGTTGAGTCCGAAGAAGGACAACTGACGACGTCTTCTCCAGACATTACAACGGACAACGGGAACAAGTTATTGGGAACGACATTTATTATAGACGACGAGACAAGAGACCAAGACGAACCAAACGACTGCGTTGTGATTATTGAGCACCTGACACTGTGATAGTTGAGTTTTGATAGCTGACTGGGTATTGAGACGTTGCTGTGTGTGCGCTTTCATTGGAGTGTGTAAGCCGTTGGAAACAGGCTTGCTTTGCCCAGCATGCGGGCTAGATGTACATGTAGTGCTAAACCCTGCTTGCTCAATTGCTCAAGCTGACCTTTCCTTTCTATGCAGGTGAACACCTGCATAGAAAGGAAAGGTCAGCTTTCTGTGCACGATGGGCCCATAGGGTGGACTGATGCACGGCGCTGTGACTGTGCTGCTGTGTGCGCTATGACTGTTCTGCTGTATACATATATTAACTGTGTGCCAGGTCTACTCTGGTAGAGTTGTGTATCTTTAATCCGCTGGTGGCATTCTATCTTGCTCGCAATTACTATATTGGTGAATTTGTACATTTTAAAAAGAACGTACGGGGTCACGTGTCCAGGCTGCTGCAATGTTCTTACTTGAAGAGAAAAGAGGCTGGGCCCTTATTTTCATTCCTCTGTTTCCGAGTGATTGGTGTATCTTAGTACGATGTATCTATTTTAGTATCCGTATGCTTTTCCATTCTACATATATCGTATACGGAAGCCGGGCACTGCGACGATGCCTAGCCCCTAAGCATGCGCTGAAACGATGAAAATTGAAGAAACCCAATAAAAAAAGTTATTGTTTAGCAGAGTTGCAGCCTGTGTCAATTTTATTTTCTCAGTCTGGCCGTTCTTTGGCGAGTCTTCCAAGCCTGAGTTACTCTAGTACTCTCTATACTCACTGTACATCTGCCACACAATAGCTCTTGTACTGTGGCCAGAATGAAGCCCATCGCTGTATTTTCCTAGTTGTTATACAGTGACTTAACGAATGTTGCGGTTCTGTGCTCTATCCGTGCGTAGATTTCCTTTGGCACCAAAGCGCTCCAGCATTACAATGTCGGCGAGGAAAAGTACCCGTGCAGTTGTTGCTATGTGAGCTTCCTGTGGCACCTGCCTCTCTGTCTGTCTGTCTCTCTCTCTCTCTCTCTCTCTCTCTCTCTCTCTCTCTCTCTCTCTCTCTCTCTCTGTGCTTCTCTGCCTCTCTGTCTGTCTGTCTCTCTCTCTCTCTCTCTGCTTCTCTGCCTCTCTCTCTCTGTCTCTCTCTGTCTCTCTCTGTCTCTCTCTCTGTCTCTCTCTCTCTCTCTCTCTCTCTCTCTCTCTCTCTCTCTCTCTCTCTCTCTCTCTCTCTCTCTCTCTCTCTCTCTCTCTCTCTCTCTCTCTCTCTCTCTCTCTCTCTCTCTCTCTCTCTCTCTCTCTCTCTCTCACACACACACACACACACGCGCGCGCACATTCTCTCCTTCACCAGCATTTGGCCAGTACAGGTGTACACTATAGTGATCATCATCAAGTGCACAGCACTGTTTCATCTTCTAGGAGGTACTGCTTCGCAAATGCACAGCTCAAACATCATTTTTTCACTGCTTTGCTGTCTTGGATGGCGACTGAGAGTGCTGTGTTTCTCCTTTGCTGCAGGCACCACCTGGTATGTACTTCAACATGTCCCAGCCCAACTGCACTGTCACTCCGGTGAGATGTTCCCCGTATAATAAGATGAAGTGCGTTTCACGTGGTACATGTAGCTTGCACTAGTGAGGTTAATACTGACTGTCTAGTACTAGTAGTAGTGTGGGCTACTGAATCATGGAGGATCTGTCATAGGTGGCGGTCTGGCACTATTGATCACGCAAGAGTTGATCTATCCAGCGTCTGGCAAAAAAACCCGTTTGCTGGCGCGACGTATCCCCTCACCTCCACCATTACATACAATACAGGTGTTGCATCTCACCCCCACTGTTACATGGGTGTAGCACCTCCTCCTCCTCCCCCCCCCCCCCCCCCCCCCTCAGCACGTACATAGAAGTCAGAAGGGTTGGTTGTGCTGTGTTTTAAAGAGAGTTCTGCCCCCGGTTACTGAGCACTGTTTGAACTGCGGAAGTTACCTACAGTGTAGCTGCATGTGAAACTTGAAACCAGCATGAATGTATGTACCAGCATGAACCCAATGCTGTAGACAGCAAGCTGTTTCGGCCATAAATGCCTCATCAATACAGCTACGAGCTAAATAGGCCGAGCTACCAGCCATGGTGCAAAGGAGGCACCACAGACATTAAGATAGCTCGTCGCTCTAGCGCCAGAGTGCTCAAACTACAAAAGTAGCGGGCATTGCGCGATGCAGCAGCACTAGAGCAGCCTACTGAGAATGCTCAACAAGGCGAAAGCCGAGGAGCGTGATACCCAATGCTGTAGACAGCAAGCTGTTTCGGCCATAAAGGCCTCATCAGTACAGCTACGAGCTAAATAGGCCGAGCTACCAGCCATGGTGCAAAGGAGGCACCACAGACATTAACCCTTTACTGTCCGTACATACAAGCATCGATCCAATGGGATCGATGGGGTAGGCATTTTGAAATTATCGTAACTTGCTCAAATCTAGGTCTTTTGGAGAGATCGAAATATGTAGGTCGAAGGGAAAAGTCTCAGCTGTCGCCTCGAACAATTCCCGAAGCGATACGAAGAGCGGTTGCTGAGTTATCGCACTCGTAATTCAGGTCCTGGGAAATGTGCGTTCAGAGCGCGACGCGCTTGTCGACAGCTGGGATTTTCCCTGTTTACGTCACCTGTTGGCAAGGCTACACCGATTCAAATTCAAAAGTAGGTTCCCGGGAGTCTCTACGAAAATATTTGAGCTCGATACGAGCAACAGGGGTGACATGGTGGATTGAGATCGATCTCGAGCGTGAGCTCAGCGCTGGTGCGCGTTCCCTGGCTTGCAGCGCTGGACCAGTGCATCCTGTGGCGCCGAGTGTGGGCTCATTGCGTTCGTCTCGTCAAGACCTTTCCAGGATGCCCAAGATCGTGGAAATTGTCAAAGTCCAACCAAAGTTACGGCTTATTTTAGTTTCAGATTTTGTGGCTGCGTGGGCTTGTATACATTTTAATCGGACAGTAAAGGGTTAAGATAGCTCGTCGCTCTAGCGCCAGAATGCTCAAACTACAAAAAGTAGCGGGCATTGCGCGATGCAGCAGCACTAGAGCAGCCTACTGAGAGTGCTCAACAAGGCGAAAGGCGAGGAGCGTGATACCCAATGCTGTAGACAGCAAGCTGTTTCGGCCATAAAGGCCTCATCAGTACAGCTACGAGCTAAATAGGCCAGCATGAATGTATGTACCAGCATGTATGTACCAGCATGAATGTATGTGTGTGGCAGGTGCAACAATACACCTTCAAGCAGCTGAGCCCACTGATTGCTGACAGCAGACTCAACCACTATCTACGATGGCGGCACCATGTGTGACCCACCAACCACACCAGTGGGCACACACACATACACATGCACACACATACACACACACACACACATTTACACACACACGCACAAACGCATACGCATGCGCCTGATCTTGTCTCGCTGTGTACCGTGAATTCATCATGTCTTTTCTTTGGCTCTCCTTTGGTTTTCATTATAGCCGCACGTGGATCCTGAGTGCACATCGCAGTGTTTTTACACTGGTTGGAATCATACCACACTGAAGGGAAACCTGAAAGTAAGAGTTGTGTTTGTGCAGTGTTGCTAAAATGAAGTGCCAGTACTTGCTTGGAAATACTGGTATCACTTTATCTTCGGCATACTTTAACCCTTTATCGACGAATTCGATAGAAGAACCGGACGCCTAGCTTTACACTGCACCTAGATGGTGTGTGCATGTGTGTGTGTGTGTGTGTTTGTGTGTGTGTGTGTGTGTGCGTGTGCGTGTGTGTCACTGTGTGTGTGTGTGTGTGTATGTGTCTGTGTCACAGTGTATCGTGTGCGCTTGCATGTTGCGTGACAGGGCGCGTTAAGGGCCAGGTGCGCATCCTTCGCTTTGCGGGTATTCACCTGTGTCACAGCTAGGTCTTGTTGATGACCTACCTGTGTCTACATGTGACCTACCTGTGTCTACATGTGACCAAGAGTACATAACCCCAAGAGTGTGCAACTGCCTGCACAACCTCTATGCTGTGCTGCGACGGCAGAACTTCACATCACGTGACATGGTTCAAAAGGTTATGCTGGCAAACAGTGCAAAGTGACCACAAGAGAGTTGTACCCAAAGCTGGGCTGCGTACAACCCAGTATCTATCATGCACTAGAGTGCACGGGTTCATCACGTGATGTGAAGTTCTGCCGTCGCAGACCCCATAGCTGGAGTTGCACACTCTTGGGGTTATGTACTCTTGATGTGACCTACCTGTGTCTACATGTGACCTATCTGTGTCTACATGTAGGCAAAGATCAGACACAGCGGAGAGTCCTGGGCTGAGCTCTCTTGTTTCCAGGGTGTATGCACGTGCTGCTGCTGCTGTAGTTTGTAGTTGCATTGTTGCATGCTGTCGATTAGGCTCAGTCCCATAGACCAAGCTGGTATGGTAGCAGCATGTCATGTTTTTTGTTTGTTTTTGTGACACCTTTCCTTTTCCGTGTGTGCGGTGTGCGTGCGCGTGTGTGTGTCTGTGTGTTGTGTCAATAGGCTGATTATGATGTGGACTATACGACTGGCGTAAAGCAGAACTTTCAAATGGTTTTTGCTGTTCTTTTCAACGGATGCACAGGAATCATGGGTATGTTGTGTGTGATATCCTCGTCCTGGACGTGAATGTGGAGTCTCCACTCTGTGTGGGACTTTCACTACGATTGTAGTGTTGTTTATCTCCCTTTTGCATGCTTGGTGTATGATGTAAGAGCTTTGATCATGCTAAGTAAAGGTTGACGCCGCACACAGTCACGATCGCTATCATTTGACGTTGACATGGACTCTCACTGTGTTCAAGGTTAATGCCCGTATTTTTGTCACAAAATCACAATGGAAACTGATTGTTGTACCGAGTCACTTTGAAAACCGTCTGGTTAGAAAATCAAGATCGCACAAAGCACAGCGTGTTGTTTTACGAGCACACCTAACTCTGCACTCTGCTGTCCAGAAAGCGCACTGCTTCTCCGGTAATGTCAGAATCAAAGCAACCAGCTCGCCAGCGTTTGTCTGGCGCTGCCAAGTTTGCTCAAATTTCCGTCTTTTCTCGCCTTTTCCACCGCTAGTCGGCAATCCCATGGAAAGGCCCACGATCCTGACACTGTATTTCTGACGTAGTGTGGCCAAGGCCTTATTGTTTTGTCTGGTGAGTTTTATGTTGCCATGTGAACTTGAAGTGACTGTGCCCGTGCTCTATGTCCGGACTACTGTAGTGTCTGTGAGGAGCGTTGTGTGTACCTGCCTTCCCTTCATATGCTACTAGTATGGCATGTCTCAATTCCAGTACCTTGTCCATGATGATGATGTAGGTGTTTCCTCTATCAACCATAGTAATTATTGAGTGTGTGTGTGTCTGTCTGTGTCCGTGTGTCTGTGCTTGTGTTTGTGTCCATAGCTGGTGCCAACATGTCTGGTGACTTGAAGAACCCTAGCTTTGCCATCCCCGTTGGCACCTTCATCTCTCTGGGATTCACCTTTGTCGTCTACGTCATCCTGAGTAAGTTGCGACAATGAATAGAGTGCTGGGGGGGGGGGGGGGGGGGCTACTGGTAACATTGCAGTGGTATGCACCGAGTTGTGACTTAAACCTGAAATGTTGCCTAAAATAGGCTGACCGCTTTGATCGGACACTAAAGAGGTTTCGCACGGCAGGAAACGTGACAAGGACGGCCGCAAGGCTGCTCACGTGTGTGACGCGCATGAAAAAGAGCTTTCGCAGCAGGTGAACCTGCACACCAAACACACTGATCAAGTTCTCGAAACTCCTCAGTTTTGAGCGCATCAAGCTACAAAATCTGTAATGAGTCCGTTCCACACGCGTGCTACTTGCTGGCTATAGCTACAGGATAATTATTGACTGAGAAATATGTCGTTCAAGAAGCTCGTCCAGCCGATTGCAGCTGGCGATTCGCGTAAATGGAGGCGGCTTCTTCCATCAGCTAAATGTTTTCATCCATTTCCTCGGCATTTCCGGACTGGCGGTGTCGTCAGCTTGAGTCAGCACGGTGCTTAGTGACAATTTTCACCGCTCGCTCGCGCAATGTTCTCTCAGTCGCTCTGGTGAAACTTGTCTCTTTGCTGTTGTTGAGTGCCGTCGTAAACTCTCTCCAACATTTGGAGCCGTAGTTGAAACAGTTGCCTGTTTCACAGCCGACAGTCGCTTTCATCAATAAGTTGTCGTCTTTCACGGTGAAAATCACCGTGCCTGCTGTCTCAGGTTCAGACGCTGAGCTGGTCTGCTGCCGGCGATGTTCAGGCGGATGAGAGTGTGGCATAGCTACACTAATCTTACTTCCACTTGAGCTTAGAAGCTAGAAGTCAACCACTCAACGTTAGCTGCCGTGCAGCGAGGGAATCTGAAAATTTATTTGACCGCTTGCACTTCATCCAGAAGAATCTCGTCGTGCCCGGTTTCTAGCATATCAGTAGAACAGTAGAACCCATCTTTTATGACCAGTAGCAAATGGCACGAACTGTGCCGTCGTCGATGAGGCCCCAAACTTGCAAGTTTGTTTCCATTACTTCACTGATGACATCATACATACCCAGCCTTGCTGGAGTGATGTCATCAGCATGCATATCGAGGCTTGCTGGAGTGAAGTACGGTCTGGTGAACGGGTGGCTCTCCAGCTGGTGACCTCACTGCTCCGTAAACCAAATCAGTGTGATATTGAAGATCACGCTCAAGGCTGCTTTTGATCGCCCAAATTCCTCTGTCGTTTCACGCAATTGATTCGGATATGAGAGCCACCTCAGAAGACCCTCCATGCCGCTCCAAGATACTCAGCATCTGCTTATCATCTTCGCTGGAAATCTCAGGACAGCCACCAACTATTCTAGCTGTGCTTTGCTAAAGAGGAAACGGCTGATGCCAGTCTCTGCATCCAGATCGGCTAAAGGGATCCGGCCACCAATGGCCTGAACCGGTTGAAGCATCCGTTGCTTCGCGTCATCCTCAACGGCCACGAGAAGCAGCAGCAACTCCGTTCGGTCCAGGTTACCTTCAGCAAACTCAAGGAGGAAAAGCGAGTCCCACAGATCGACTTGATCTGCAACGAACGCAGCCATTGATTATCTCAAAATCTCCAGCCCTCAACTGCTCATGGGTGTTTTCCATACTCGGAGAATGCAGAGGTCGAAAACATGAATGCTGCACGCAGTTTTATGGAACAGACTCAGTTAGTAGTGGAGTACCCGCTCGACTTTGATCAATGCAGGAGCCCATGATTGCAACATTATACTGTACAAGTCATGTAGGGAGAGGGATACGCGGGGATCCATACATGCAGGGTGATTGATGTACGGGATTGTGTGGGTGGAAGGGAAAGCACACACAGCCATAATGAAGGGTACGGAAGCCAAACAGTGGAATGCTATGGTTCTAGAACTTAAAATATCACTGCAACATTCCACCAGTGATAATCTCCTTTCCAGTCACCAAACATACCTCTAGCTATGATTGTAATAATCCGAGTACTTCGAGTACGAAGAAAAAAATTAGAAAATGGCATTGCACATGATTTGTGTTGCACCTGACTGATTGTGGTACGCCGTTTGGATGCCCTGGTTCGGGTGTCAAATTCCGAGCGCACACTCTACGAGATATTCTACTCCAGATGTGCAATGTGTGCTGTCACCTGCACCTTGAATGCTCCAAATTTTGGCGCTACACTTGGATCTCTCTCTCTTACCCAGACCTCAAGGTTACGGGCACCTCGGTCTACCGGGCTCCCTATGGGTGGACTTTCGTGACAATATTAGGCCATACGTTTTTATTTCTATGTTTCTCGTCACCTGAAAATCTAAAAGCGTATGCGAGAGGTGGAAAAAAATAAAAAAAGTTTATTAGACCTGTGTTCACACTAAAATCCACCAATACACCATGCAAAATAGCATCCATAGTTAGCAAATAGTATGTGGTAGGAGCTTCTGTCACAATCTGAGCATGTGCAGCTAGATTGCGCACAAAACATGCCATCCTTGCATCATGTGTCGCGCAGGCCAGGCCACATTATGTACATGTGCATGAGTGTGCTGGTCCCCACATGCACAGTCAGTGCAGCACAGTTTTTTTCTTTTTTTCTTCAAGACTCCGGAATCGTATGCGGGCGGGTGACGAGAAACATAGAAATAAAAACGTGTCGCCTTACTACTCTTTTGCCAAGGTTTGTGGAGATAGGAATGTCGTATGCCAGATCTCTGGCCCTTCATCATTGAAACGTGTGTGATTCAGAGTTCCGGGCATTTCAAAGTTGTGGGCAGGGCTTGATCCCAGACCGGCCGGATTAGAGAAAATGAGTGTATGGGGTATTCAGGGAAGGGGAAAGGGCATTATTGGGGTATTCAGGGAAGGGGGCGAGGTCATTATTGAGGTATTCGGGGGAGGGGCGAGGGCATTATTCCCCGCTGCACATTATGTTCCGCCAAACACGGAGAAGAACAAAAACAAAGCGGTTGGTGCTCACCCGAATTGGACACGAACCACACTCTCTTTTTCCCTTGGTGCTTGCTAGTCCTGTTCACTATGACTGTTTTTGAATTTATTTTATTGCTGCTCCTGTTGTTGTTGCTGCTGCTGCTGCTGCTGCTGCTGCTGCGCCTGTTGTTGCTGCTGCTGCTGCTCCTGGTGTTGCTGCTGCTGCCGCTGCTGGTGTTCCTGGTGGTTGTATTGTCAGTGTTCTTCTCAGCGTTCACAGTAACCAGAGACATGCTCCTGTTTGACTACGGCTACCTGGAGGTAATTTGATTTTGTTGTCCTTAAGCTTTGAGGAAATGAAGCCCCATACCAATGCATGTCATTAGTGAGTATCCATTCCCATGGTCTGGGTCCTGGAACACATGTGCGCACGTGCGCGCACGCACAGGTGGGTTTTTGTGGGACTTCTAATTCGGTGTAATTGGCCAGCTTACAGACCAGACACTGCTCTGCGGACGTATTCACTGAGCGATTCCACCTGTACTGCTCCTGTCTTGATGAACGTACCTTACAGTTATGCTGTGTGCTACAAACCTTATTGTGCCGTGTGTTTCTTGATTGTTCTTCTGCCACCATCCTGATTATGCCGCCTTCATCCAACACCATTGCCCCTCTTCTCTACAGCACATCAATAGTGTGCCACCACTGGTCACCATGGGGATATTTGCAGCCACGCTCTCCGCCGCTCTCAGCACTCTGATAGGTGAGTGACCGGGGGTCATATTGCAGGGCACTATAGTGCGTTTCAAAAGTCCAGGCCTCTTGTTTCAAAACACCGTTAGGCCAGCATCTATACCACATAAAATGTGTGATAACTTTGTGCATAAAATTTCCGAATTGGGCGTTTGTTGTCCAATCACTTAGAAATTTATATGAGAAAAATTGCGGAAGCTGCCTGAGCAATATTCCGGAGAAATTTCTCAAAAGCCCAAACCTAATTTGAATTACCGTAATGTCGCGTATAAAAGCAGGTGCTTACGGCCGTATACGCCGATTTCAGTGCTAGGCTTCTATTCAAGTCAGGCTTCTATTCAAACCACGTATCTCTATGTATGTCAACACTAAACCAGGCTTATGTGTTGACAGTGTATCTTAAAAATCAGGCTTCTATTCAAAACAGGCTTCTTATACAAGACACTACAGTATTCGAAAAAGTCTAGAGGTCTATACTTTTGAAACGCACTATGGGGCGGGTATGTCCATGATAGAGGTGGAGCAGGTATGTCTCAGTGCAGAGTGGGGCAGTGGAATCTCTATATTTGTGTTTTAGTTCCTGCACAGTGAGATTACGGATCGTGAGTTGCCCTTTTGGCAGAGCATTGTTGTCGTCAACAGTTCAGATACACTCAGAAAGTGGTGGACACCACGCAGCTGCATTGTAAATAAAAGGGGGTTCTGACGATAGGTGACTGGCCCGAAACGTCATAATTTCTTGACGTCACTAATAAAAGAAGTTTTCATCCAACGCATGCACCAAGAGTGAATAGCAACTGAATAGAGCGGTTGTCAGTTGACAACCCCCCCCCCCCCCCCTTATTTAGTTTGGATACAGCTTCTTGTTTTGACAAGTGAAATCCTGACTCAACTTCTCACTCAAGTGTGCTGCTGACTTTGTCTGGGAACATGTTTCACGCTCGTGTTGCTCTACTCTCCTTTTCCTGTGGGATTTTCCTTTCACCATGTCTGATACGATACTGATGCTGAATCTGGCCTTTTGTGCATGTACCTATTGGTATTCAGGATCGTCACGTGTCTTGCAGGCCCTGGCCAAAGATGGCTTGTTCGGTGAGTGTATACTTCGTGTGTCGGTGTATGTTTTGTTTGTTCATGTTGTACATGTCTCCACTTGGGCTGCTGCTGCTGCTTCTGCTGTTGTAATGATATCCTGTACACCGTATGGAGATACCCCAGCACACTGTATGCAGATACTCCTGCACTTTGGAGACAGCGTAGTGTTATCTTTTCAAGGCTCGCAGCTGAATTTGGCTATTTGGAATATTTTGGTTGTTTTTGCTAATCCTTGTCAACCAGGTGATCCTGTGCTGGTGAATACTGATCAGACCATGTGTTGTACTGATGACCTTGGTGATGGGGTAGCAGACAACACGTACATGTAGGGATGCAGCTGCCATGCTACTTATCCTCTGCTACCTGTCGTTTACCCTGTGTGAAGTATGCTAGTGATTCTGCTGTGCTGCTGCTGCTGCTTCGATTGTTTTCACTGCTGTTTATGGCGTAGGTCGACTACTGGCGCCGTTTGCCAAGTTGATGCTGGCCAAACAAGAGCCTATACCAGCTGTATTGCTCTCATGGTTCTTTGTCCAGGTACGTCAGGGTGGAGGGCTAGTGTAAAGTTTGTGCTTCTAATTTGTTATGCTGGACTCCATCCTTGATCTAAGTTGGAAGAACAATGTCATGTGTGTGTGTGGGGGGGGGGGGGGGGGGGGGGCTGTGACCAACAGAGGGTGCAGCTGGCTAATGTATTATTGCAATGCTCGTTGTTGTTGTTGTTGTTGTTGTTGCTGCTGCTGCTGATGTTAGCTATTCTCGAGCATTGTGATAGGGTTGTTAGTCCCACGGTCTCCCCTGACCTGCCTTTGTTTCCATTGTTCTCTCCATCCTCTGTTTTTATGTGTAGCTAATCTTGTTAGTTGGCAAGCTTAACGCCATTGCACCAATCGTAACAATGTTCTTCTTGATATCGTACGGTGTGGTGAACTTTGCGTGCTTCGCTCTCACCGTTGCCTCGGCTCCCAACTTCCGGTAAATACCTGTACAAGATCTGTGTGTGCGTTGGGGGGGGGGGGGGAGGGGCAGTTGTGGATGCTGTTATTAGAACTGGCCGGTGCGTAGACCTGTGTAGAGTTGGCCTGAACAGTCGATGCGGATGTTGCCACTACTCCCATGCCATTTGCAGCAAAATATGACTCTGGACATTCCCTATACTGTTGGAAATCACCACCATCAAGATGTTCAATATCCACAATCTTTATGGAAAAGAAAAAGGACCAAGGAACTACAAGTTCTCTATAATGTCCGCTAACACTTTTCTTTTCCATAAATGTATCCTTGGCTCTCCATCCGAATCCATGCATCCACAATCTTTGTTGCCATTCTATCATGTCCCTAACGCACCGAGCAGGGGCGTCCCAAAAGCACAGCACACAGTAAATTGTATTATATCTTCTACATACACTATGCAGCTAACTATATGTCCGCCAGTAAAGTCTCGCATGTTGTCATTGTCTCGTTCACATGCTTTTTCTATGCAGTGTCTGCACCTTTTCTTTGTGAGCTGTGTTTCAATTCTGACTTGCTGCTATTCTGTGTGGCTGGCGGGTTGTTTGTGCAGGCCATCGTTCCGTTTCTTCACCTGGCATACAGGTAAGTGCATAGGACCGTGTTCCTTGTGCCCTCTGCCATGTACTCGTGCTCTAGTACGCACTGCTTCATAGCCACTGTCTACTGTTCTGATGTACTAGTATCACCAACAGTACATAACCCCCCAGAGTGTGCAACGCCTGATCCAGCTCTGCATAGGGTCTTGGTCGAGCGTAATCGGATCTTTGCGTCATAATACTGTACACATCTGAGGGGAACCCGGGGAGTCGCGGGGACTCTCGGATCAAAAATAATGGTGCCCTGCCTCGAGACCGGCCTTGCGCTGGTGTGGAGTGTACACATGGCATCAGAAGATCCGATTACGCTCGACCGAGACCCTATGCAGAGCTGGATCAGGCGTTGCACACTCTGGGGGGTATGTACTCTTGGTATCATGTTACTACTACAGGACTACCATTTGTAATTTTGCACTGATATTGAAAAGGGTTCCTTGCCTCACAACGTGACCGCGAACAGTTGGTAGTTTGGTGTGCTCTCCACACGACTAGACTCATTGACAGAGCACTGTGTGGAGTGTGATAGTTTGGTGTGCTCTCCACACGACTAGACTCATTGACAGAGCACTGTGTGGAGTGTGATAGTTTGGTGTGCTCTCCACACGACTAGACTCATTGAGAGAGCAGTGTGTAGAGTGTGATAGTTTGGTGTGCTCTCCACACGACTAGACTCATTGACAGAGCAGTGTGTAGAGTGTGATAGTTTGGTGTGCTCTCCACACGACTAGACTCATTGACAGAGCACTGTGTGGAGTGTGATAGTTTGGTGTGCTCTCCACACGACTAGACTCATTGACAGAGCACTGTGTGGAGTGTGATAGTTTGGTGTGCTCTCCACACGACTAGACTCATTGAGAGAGCAGTGTGTAGAGTGTGATAGTTTGGTGTGCTCTCCACACGACTAGACTCATTGAGAGAGCAGTGTGTGGAGTGTGATAGTTTGGTGTGCTCTCCACACGACTAGACTCATTGAGAGAGCAGTGTGTAGAGTGTGATAGTTTGGTGTGCTCTCCACACGACTAGACTCATTGAGAGAGCAGTGTGTGGAGTGTGATAGTTTGGTGTGCTCTCCACACGACTAGACTCATTGACAGAGCACTGTGTGGAGTGTGATAGTTTGGTGTGCTCTCCACACGACTAGACTCATTGAGAGAGCACTGTGTGGAGTGTGATAGTTTGGTGTGCTCTCCACACGACTAGACTCATTGAGAGAGCACTGTGGAGTGTGATAGTTTGGTGTGCTCTCCACACGACTAGACTCATTGAGAGAGCAGTGTGTAGAGTGTGATAGTTTGGTGTGCTCTCCACACGACTAGACTCATTGAGAGAGCACTGTGGAGTGTGATAGTTTGGTGTGCTCTCCACACGACTAGACTCATTGAGAGAGCAGTGTGTGGAGTGTGATAGTTTGGTGTGCTCTCCACACGACTAGACTCATTGACAGAGCACTGTGTGGAGTGTGATAGTTTGGTGTGCTCTCCACACGACTAGACTCATTGAGAGAGCACTGTGTGGAGTGTGATAGTTTGGTGTGCTCTCCACACGACTAGACTCATTGAGAGAGCACTGTGGAGTGTGATAGTTTGGTGTGCTCTCCACACGACTAGACTCATTGAGAGAGCAGTGTGTAGAGTGTGATAGTTTGGTGTGCTCTCCACACGACTAGACTCATTGAGAGAGCACTGTGGAGTGTGATAGTTTGGTGTGCTCTCCACACGACTAGACTCATTGAGAGAGCAGTGTGTAGAGTGTGATAGTTTGGTGTGCTCTCCACACGACTAGACTCATTGAGAGAGCACTGTGGAGTGTGATAGTTTGGTGTGCTCTCCACACGACTAGACTCATTGAGAGAGCAGTGTGTGGAGTGTGATAGTTTGGTGTGCTCTCCACACGACTAGACTCATTGACAGAGCACTGTAGAGTGTGATAGTTTGGTGTGCTCTCCACACGACTAGACTCATTGACAGAGCAGTGTGTGGAGTGCCACTACAGTGTAATAGGTGTTGCCACTGTGGCTACTGCTGCCACTGTGGCTACTGCTGCCACTGTGGCTGGTATAGAATGTGCCAATCGTGCTCCCAACTGTTATAGATTATTTTGATGGAGGAAGCGCTCACAAGCCTTGTGCATTGTTGTGTGTGTGTGTGTACGTGTGTGTGTACGTATGTGTATGTGTGTATGTGTGTGTACGTGTGTGTGTGTGTGTGTGTGTGTGTGTGTGTGTGGTTGTTCACTTCCTTGCAGCTCTACTTGGCTTCTTTGGCTGCTTTGTCGTCATGTTCTATATCAATGCGCTGTATGCGGCTGTTGCTGTCGGTGAGTAGAATCTCCATGCCTATCTAGCACGGACTATACATACGCCTGCCGGGTGTGCCGCGCTCTATCTCTGTACATATACAGTGAAACCTATCACGACCGCTCAAGGGACCTTCAAAACATGGGCTCTGTTACCAGGTGGTCTCTTTATCCAGGGTCAATTGCCTGGAAATAGCATCCATTTGTGCTGGTTTCAGTGGTCTTCCAGGACAGGTGGTCTTCCAGGACAGGTGGTCGCATTGACAAGTTTACTGTACCTCACTGTACCTACACATAGGGAATACCGGCACGGCCAATGGCATTCTCACGTTGCCTGATGATTGCGTAAGCATGAAAGTCAGAGTAGCCACAAACTAGCCTTGCTTGCCCGTGTTGTTGTTCTTTGCAACACTGCTCCTATTATAATATCACTGCATCTATACCTCACTGTACCTATATGAGTGCAATGTATACGTATGCAGCAGTGTGACTATGCTGATGAACTGGGAAAGTTAGAGAATTGTAGTGCAGTGAAACTGCAATACTGCAGACAGCTACTAGTGATTGTTTTTGTCATCAAGGCATCAACAGTGCAGCTACGATGTAGACCGGGACTTCCAGCCATGATGATCAAAGCCACAGGCAGGCATTCAGCCTGCTCAATGTACTGCGCTTTTGTAATTGTAGTGCTGTTGTATGTGGGCATTCAGTGCGCTTGAATCACTTTTTGTTTGGACTTTGTGTTTCTTCTGTTAATACTGCTATTGATGTCTTTCCTGCTGTTGTTGCTGCTGTTGTTGTTGCTGCTGTTGCTGCTGTTGTTGTTGCTGCTGTTGTTGCTGCTGCTGTTGTTGCTGCTGCTGCTGCTGCTGCTGCAGTGCTGTTGATCATTCTCTTCCTGTTCATCTCATTCCGTTCACCTGGAGTTCACTGGGGAGAAGTATCACAGGCTCTAATCTATCACCAGGTAAATTGTTTGGTGGTACATGTACGGCTGTTGCTGTTGCTGTTACTGCAGTTGCTGCTACTGCGGCTGCTTGTTTGGGCATGTGAATCCTGTACACCTGAATCAATGGGTTCCTGTTTTTGTTCACTATTGTACTGATTCATGTACCACATTCTAGCTACCAGGTATTGAGCACTGTGGCATTCTCTCGGAGTCCTTTCAGTGGTGTACCGCAAGTACACTTATATCAAGACTTCAAGAGTACATAACCTCCCAGAGTGTGCAACGCCTGATCCAGCTCTGCATAGGGTTTTGGTCAAGCGTAATCGGATCTTTGCGTCATAGTACCGTACAGATCTGAGGGGACCCGGGGAGTCGCTGGGACTCTCGGATCAAACAACGGTGCCCTGCCTCGAGACCGGCCTTGCGCTGGTCCTTATGCAGAGCTGGATCAGGCGTTGCACACTCTGGGGGGGGTATGTACTCTTGCTGATGTCGAACCTAGTACGGGCCTTCATCATACGCCCTTCTGTTGGCGACATGAACTGTTGTGTGTGGGTGTGCGTGAATGGCTGAATGCATACCTTCACGTGCTTTGGAGTATGTGTGCATGGGTGTGAACATCAAAGTTGGTGAGGAGTCTAGGACGCGCACAAGGGCAACAGTTAACATCCTCAGCTGACTGGCTTGCCGAGATATGTCCGGGGCTGTCTGTCTTTATGGGAAAGAAAAGGACCGAGGAACTACAAGTTACGCTATAGATAGTGTGATAGCGTAACATAACTTAGTAGTTCCTTGAACCTTTTCTTTCCTAAAAATTCGTCCTTGGCTCTCTATCCGAGTCTACTCTCGGTCTTGCTGTTATCTTCTGAAAATGCTCCTTTATGAAATGACTGCTAACCATGTTTGTGTGTGTGTACGTGTGTGTGCGTGTGTGTGTATGTGTATAGGTTCGCAAGTATCTACTTCGCCTTGACGTGCGCAAGGACCACGTCAAGTTCTGGCGACCCCAGGTATTGCCATGGCCAGGGCCAATGTAGTGTTTGACGTAGTCAGCTGATCTGATTTTGACTGTACACGTGCATTGTGTGTATTGCGAGCTAAGCTGTTCTGTTAGCATGTGTGACGTTGCCCTCTATGCATGGATTTCAGCAAGAGTGCATAACTTCCGGGAATTTGCAACCACAGTCTATGGAGTCTGAGGCGGCAGAACTCCACATTACGTAACAAACCCGTACACACTATCTGCACCCAGTGCCTGATAGCTACAGGGTCGCACGGAACCCTGCTTTGGGCACGACTCTCTCTCTCTCTCTCTCTCTGTCTGTGGCGGTCACTTTGCACTGCTTGCCAGCGTACTCTACCCATTGACCTGTGTTGTCATACGATATGCCAGACTCTGCTGTCCCAGTACTTTGCTAGAAAAGTATGGGCAGTTGCACACACTCTCTTGATGTAAATCCCAGCCGAGTGATAACTAGCAGTCTTGCCTTGCACGGTGCATGCATATAGGTCAGGATGAACTGATAGTAAGGCTTTCCTTTTCCCTTGTCTTGCATTTCTTTTCTATTGCCCGTTGTGTAGATGCTGCTGCTGGTTGCGAACCCACGCTCCTGCTATCGTCTCATGAGCTTCATCAATGATCTGAAGAAGGTATGTATTTGAGGGGGGGGGGGGACTAAATCAGAGTGGATCTCTGACTTAGCGAAGACTTAGGGGTGGAACGAAGTTCTCAAATTCCCATTCGAACCTTCTTTTCGAAACAAACGACGGTGTCGAAGGATTCTTTTTTTTTCACGGTCACAGAGACGGTCAAAATTCTAGAATAAAGAACCAAAAAATTAGACCTTGTGACAGCCGTATAGTCGGATTTTGCAAGAATGTATAATCAAACAGTTTTCGTGGAGACAGAAATGAAATCAACGCAATAAGTAAAGCAAGTTGCTGAAGGGATGGCAACGAAAACGTTCAAGGAAATCTAACCTGTGCGAATGGTGTGTGTTTTGAATGCGCATCTTGCTTTACTTATGGCGTTGAATGTATAATCAGTAAGACAAATTGCTCGTTTCGCGAAATCAAGCAGTGAAAAGCATGCAATATTCAGCAAGAGGTACGAAGAATGATATTAGAGCACTACAGTGCAATATCCACTGCTATTCAGCAAGAAGTAAGGTGTATTTTATGCAGTGCAGCATCACTCAGATGACAGTTAAGTCGAAGTGTGAATTAATAATGTGGATATGCGGTAAAAACAGTAACTGGCGTAAGCCCATCAGAACAACAACAGTTACTGAGTGTCCTCCTCATCTGTACCCAGTACCCTCACCCTCACTGGAACTCGAGTCAATGGTCTCAGCAAGATTGGGAAGTGGTGACAGCTCCTCTTCCAGCACCTGCATGAAATCAGAGGCTGGCTTGGGCTCTGGTTGGTTGGAAGCAACAAGCTGACAGCTCACTCTGGATCTCGCTGACGACAGCATGGTATTCTTGCACAGGAACACCAGCATGTCGGCATTCTCTTGCGTCAGAGAGGACCGCAGCTTGTTGACGATGAGACCCGACCTTTTCCGTTCATCAGCATAGGGAGTAGAGATAGTCCAGCTAAAGCCCAGGGGAAACCACCACGTTGCATAGGCAGTTCATTTTTGGAGGGTTGTGACGTGCTCTTCTGCAGCTCAGCCGGACCGAGTCCGAGCAGGTTACCGATAAAGCCAAGAAAGCCGCCGCTTTGGCGATGGGTAGTGCTCAAGTCACCACCTTTCACAAATCGCTGTTGCGTTGCTAAGTCACCGCCATCCATCGCTCGCACATTGCTTCTTCCTTGCTCTAGTGCAGAGAAAATTCTTCAAACCATCTCGCTCTTGATGCCTCTCTCCTTGTCCATGGTGTACATGTACTGATCCATGCAGATCATGTTGATCTTGATGGATGTGGACGCGTGACTGGGCACATTGATGGGCGAGTTGGCCACAGCGGCAAACTCCACGATGTTATACAGATGTTATACATTTTGTTGTTGTGGCGCATGCAAGTGTTTGCATGGAGTGCATCATGCATGAGTAACGGTGGCACATACGCACTCACGCGGAGTTCTAATGTTGTCCAGGCGCTGCCACTAGCTGGTCCACGTCTTGAGGGTTTTGGACGCTATATTTTTTTTGTGCGGCGTGTCGTCACCGTCGAGTGGCCGTCGCTAAACCATTGCTGTTTGGTGGTCTTTATACGCACCAAGTTCAATCGGACTCCATTGTCGCCCACCACCACATCGTCCGTGTATGTGTAGCGGACCGTTGTCACAACTCTGGTGATCCGGGACTCCATCCTAAACAAACAGGCATGCATATGCACTGCGGTTAGCCTTGTTTGTTTGTTTGTGTTTATTGCACGCTGTCCGCTCTCCTCACCGTCATAGGCATACATCTTAGAGCGAAGCGCCACAAACCCAGTCATCAGGCGTCCACCCAGCTCATCCTTAAACTTCCCGGCGGTTTTTTATTCTGCTGGCTGTAAAGCGGGTTTTCAGACGGGTAGTTGCTCGTGTCATACTCGTCGATGGTGCTCATCATATCCTCGTATAGATCGTCCGTGGCAAACTTCAGGACAAACGAGTCGGTATCCGTGTAGAGCAAAGTGACACGCTCTGCGTAGCGAGCCTTCAGATGGACGTAGTAGAACTCGTCCATGAGCGCCTTACTGAGATCGAGCACGCTCATACCAACGTACACCGGTTTCTTTAGCGATACTCTTTACGACGTATGAAGAGCATTCCTGCACATACTCATCGACTTGTCATGGGCAAGTACTTTTATTGACACGCTAGCATGCAAGTCCTAACTTGTTTAGTGCGATGCTGAGAATGGAGACATTGCCGTATTGACAGAGCTACACGCGCGACAGATGACATGATGACTTGTGCACTCATTCTTTCTGCACGTGCTCCTACCCAGAACACCTAGTAGTACAATGTTCCTAGCACAACAGCCTCGCCGCAGCTCACGTGTGGAGGAACTAATTTACATTGCACATGCATGCCGGCATGACATACGTCTGGCAGCTCACTGAGTGATGCACAGTGCGGAGAGATTGAGCATCGCGCCACCAGGACACAGCCGACACGAATATGGCGTACTGCTGGACCGTGTTCATTGTGAAATCTTCAGCGGAGAGAGTCGATGTGGTCTTCACATATATATCAACGCCGACCTTCTTCCCACCGGCGACGGGAGAGGATAGCTTGGTCGGAAAGAAGTTTGTGGATAACTTCTTAACCCGCTCCGACACAATCGCACGACGAATCGATGGTGATACCTTTATCGCTGTCTTCACTACATCCACTAGCTCCACTGGTAACTCAATGGTTACCTGGGTTAGGGGTTACCTGGGAGTATTTATAGACGGCCCTCATCTCCGGTGATGTCATACACCATAGAACTTGGGTTCCGAAATTTTCGAGCCCTCGGATACAAAGAAACACGGAGAAGCACAGTGTCCCCTTGGTTAGCCTCAGAGGTATGCTTCTAAAAGTGTGGTGTGAATGCAACGTGACAGCGAAAACCAACTTTTATGGCGAAAGAACTCATATTACTCGATATTCCGCCGCTTTCGTGGACGATTGAAACGGGCCGCATTTTCTCAACAAACCAATCGGCTATGAGCTCGCTGATTTCCGACGCTTTCGCGGGAGGGCACTTCTTGCCACCAACTCTCGGTGCCACAAACGATGTCATTGGCCGTGTTCCAGCGGCTGTCGGTCCTCCAGCGCTGCTGGTCTTTCCAGATGCACCATCCATTGATTGCTGGGCTTCTGGGTGAGCTGCGAGCAGGTGCTCACGCAGATTCGAAGTGTCGCCGCGATATGCATACTCCGCGTTGCAAATCGTGCAACACACTCGATCCGCCTTGCCGGGAATTTCGCGGAAGTGCTTTCATACGTCGAACCGCTTTCCTGGAGCTGACTGTGACGACCCTCTCGCCTTGCGGATGGTGTCAAAAGTCCTCTGCCGCTTCTGGCTTGCATTCACATGCTGGTAGTATTTTTCCGCAGTCTTGGTAGAGTGGCCCATGTGGGCAGCCGCTCTGGCAGCATCGTCAGTGGCCAGGTTGTTAGCCGCAGCCGACGAAGTCATAATACGGCCCTCCGTGGCTGAAGACGGAATATCGATGCCGGTCCTTCCAGCAACGTTGATGAACATTCTTTGGCTCACCTGCGAGCTGAACTTGTTCCCTACAGAGTTAATGAGATTGCATACCAAAACGCAAACAAAAACAATCATATGCACAGATAACCAAGCACGCATAAACCAAGGAAATGTTCAACATTGACAATAACATTAACAATAACACAATAACATTAGATTACATAAATGTAGTTTGTCCTATTTGCAAGAAAGGGAACTATCGCAGAATATCATTTTCCACGTGTATTCAAACTTACCTTAAGAATTGACGAACATGATTGTGTTCACGCTCACTCTTCCTCACTATCTTGTAGTAGAGGATGAACACGTCGCGCAGTTCATCAGGGAAGGAGATGACAGCCGGCTTGGTGGTTGCAGTTTTGTGGTCAAAAACCTTGACTTCAATGGCCTTTGACTTTGCCCTACACACAAGATAAGAGGAGAGTATTACAATGTAAAGTGCAATCACAGGAAGCATAAAAGAACACATTACAGGATAGTTGAGCCGCCAGTGAACACGAACAGATCTTACAACTACATGTTGGTAGAGAACAAAATAAATCTGAAACTTACTTCTTGCACATTGTCAGGGATCTTTTCACCTCCTGCACCGTCATATTGCAGAGAGGCCCTGCCCTCTGCCCATTTGCCAGGGTCAGAGTGACCATGAGGTACTCCATAACCTCCAGGTCTTCTTTCTGCAAAGTCTTCACCTTTAGCTACCTAGCTCTGGCCCACCTCTGGACTTTGAGGTGGCTTGGTCCAAGTACAGGCAGGAAAGAACAGTCCTTTAATCATTTTTGATATTCAGATGTTATAGGGAAAGATACAAAGAGGAAACATTTCAATTTTTCACAATCACAATTAGGGGTGTAAATAGACATGGATCTCCTTTCGAAGGCGGCACAGCAAACTCAGCGCACTGGGCGGGAAACTACAGCAGTGCATCTCTGTATGTGTCTATGTCCCCAGGCACTGTCGTCGTCGATGAATAATCGAATTACGGTCATGTACTATATGTAGTAAATGGAGGCAGTACGTACTAAGTATTACCAAGAGTGCATAAACAAGAGTATGCAACTGTGGTTATGGGCCAGTGCGCGGCGCGCTGCCTTCATTACGTAACTTGCCTCCATCACGCTCTGAAAGCATGCTCAAACCCACAATTTCTCGTACGAGCCCATCCGTTTTTGCTCGATTCATTCCAGTACCTACGCGATCTCTAAATTTTGGCGCGTGAACTCCAGTTCCGTACGAAAATTCATTTCAAACCAGAGGGAAAGCGTAGTGTTTGATTTTCCGCAGTGCCGGACTGCAGCTGAATGATGTAATGAAGGCAGCGCGCCGCGCATCTGGCCCATAGAAAAGAGATCACAGTTGCATACTCTTGTTTATGGACTCTTGGTATTACATACTCTCTCACACACTATCATCCGATCAGGACTTAGGGGACGCACGAGACTCAGCTCACAAGAACAACTATTAGAGTAAGACAAACGACAACCAACTCCGGGTAAGACTTCGGGCGGAAGAAGAGAGAACTGAGCAAGGCAGAGTTGGGTCTTGGGGGTATATCTAATCTTACTATGGAGGGAAAAGGGGTGCACGCAGTAAGCGAGAACAGGGTGAGCGGGAAAAAGGAGTGCATGTATTAAGCGAGGCAAACGGCTTAGCAAGGGTGTAACCGGGAACAGGGTGAGCGGGAAGACCGAGGTCAGCGGTGCAGTAAGCGGGGAAGATAGCGGTCGGCAGTGAATGCACGTGTACGTGTGAGGGTGCGTGCATGTGTATGGATGTGTGTACTGGAGTGTGTGCATACGGGAGTGTGTGCATACGGGAGTGTGTGCATACGGGAGTGTGTGCATACAGGAGTGTGTGCATACGGGAGTGTGTGCATACGGGAGTGTGTACGTGCTAAAATGGCTTGTACAACATTGGGGTGGGGGAGCAGTGTAGCAGCTATCTTCTGAACGTAGTTGTAATTATGACTCTGAGTTAAGATAGTGTCCATGCTTACACGACATTGACGTCTGGCAATTGAATGCAATGTTGAATATGGAGCATTCCCACAATGTGTGTGCGTGTGTGTGTGTGTGTGTGTGTGTGTGTGTTTGTGATGGTGTGCATGTGCTTGTGCGTGTACGTGTGTGTATGTGCATCTCTTTGCAGGGTGGTCTATATGTTCTAGGCAATGTGATTGTCAGTGACTATGATGAGCAGGTGAGCATGCAGCAAGACTAATAGGAACGCTGATTGCTTTAGACGCTTACCTTGCTAACTGCATACCTGTGTGCTGAATATCGCTTTGATCAATCTTGACCCAGAGTGGATCCACTGCTGCACGCGCATAGTGCAGTTTAAACAGTGGTTTTAGCAACATGGCACACCATGCTGACGAGACACTAACCTGAGGGGCGCTGACCTGAGGGGGTACTACCCTGAGGGGCGCTGACCTGAGGGGGTACTACCCTGAGGGGGCGCTGACCTGAGGGGGTACTACCCTGAGGGGCACTGACCTGAGGAAGTACTACCCTGAGGGGGCGCTAACCTGAGGGTAGCGAGGTCAGACACGTGACCAGTTAAAGGACTTCGCTTGTCGCGCTTGGCCCATTGAAAATCGATGATGTAATGGCACATAGGCGTACATTCGTCGCGACAAAAAAATCACGTAGTCGGGCTCCTTTCAACACCCATAACTCTTTTCTACCTGCTCTAACTCAGCCCAAATTTTAGATTTGAACTCCTGAAGCTTTGAGCTTTCCGTGGATACCCAATTCGATAGGGTTTTCCAAAATTTTCGCCTGACCTCGCTACTGAGGGGTACTACCCTGACTGATGTTACTGTGATCTGTGAACCTAAGAGATCTCTAAAATCACGAACTACGGAATGCCAGAAATACTAGCTCTGGAACTGTTACTTACCCATAACTGTACTTGCGACTATACTGGCTGATCTTGCACAATGTAGTTGCATCCAGTTGTCAGTCTTCCCATGAAGTACAATGTATTGTGTCCATCTATCTGCTTATCCCTTCCCTGTGTGTGTGTGTGTGTCGGTGTGTGTGTGTGTGTGTGTGTCGGTGTGTGTGTGTCGGTGTGTGTGTGTCGGTGTGTGTGTGTCGGTGTGTGTGTGTCGGTGTGTGTGTGTCGGTGTGTGTGTGTCGGTGTGTGTGTGTCGGTGTGTGTGTGTCGGTGTGTGTGTGTCGGTGTGTGTGTGTCGGTGTGTGTGTGTCGGTGTGTGTGTGTCGGTGTGTGTGTGTGTGTGTGTGTGTCGGTGTGTGTGTGTCGGTGTGTGTGTCGGTGTGTGTGTTGGTGTGTGTGTTGGTGTGTGTGTCGGTGTGTGTGTCGGTGTGTGTGTCGGTGTGTGTGTCGGTGTGTGTGTCGGTGTGTGTGTTGGTGTGTGTGTTGGTGTGTGTGTCGGTGTGTTGGTGTGTGTGTGTGTGTTGGTGTGTGTGTCATTGTGTGTCGGTGTGTGTGTGTCATTGTGTGTGTGTGTGTGTGTGTGTGTGTGTGTGTGTGTGTGTGTGTGTGTGTGTGTGTGTGTCATTGTATCATGGTGTACACACATACAGAGTGTACGCTGGTACCGTGAGCAGTTGCCGACGTGGATAGACTTTGTTGACACCAGTCGTTTGAAAGCCTTTGTGGAGCTCACCATCTCTCCGTCGGTGCGCCAAGGAGTACGGGGCCTCTTGACGGTAAGTGATTCCTCACATTATTAGATGACCATTCACTTCTTGCCGGGCTTGAGGTTTGAGAGTGATGGACCACACCACGGCCATTGTAGGCGAAAGGAAATTATTTTTATATTCCTGCCGTCTCGGGCAGGCGGGTGACCTACAATGTAGCGTGCATCTTGGTCACCGCCTCTACCAATTCTATGCTTTTAGCATGATGCACAGCAACTGCAGCTGCAGTCTGCAATATGTTGTGATCTACAGTCAACCGTGCGAATAATGACCCTCCGTCGTGCACACGACAAAAGTATCGTTATTCGCGAGCTGCCATTGTTCATGAGGTTGACAGTATGCAGTTGAATGCTCGCGAAGTCTGAAGATGGTGGCGTTATTCGTGAGTTAATTTTACGCCTGAGGTCGTTATTCACACGGTTGACTGTACAAACAGTCATTGACCCTGTTCTCTTGCCTGAGGTACATGTTTATGAATTGGACCATGGGCTGTGCATAGGATTCTGTGCAGCTGTGTCCATGTGGCCATGGGCTGTGCATAGGATTCTGTGCAGCTGTGTCCTTGTGGCCGCTGCTGCGTTCTGTATAAGTTTCAAGCCTTAAACGGCTTGTAAGGTGCCATGTCACAGCCAAGTCAGAGTCATGACAATGCTGACGACTGGGCCCAGGTTTCATTTTATATGAACCCATACACATTTGAGTGGTTTCCAGTTCATGTTAGGTTGCCACATGCACCGGTACTGCTGACTGGACTGGGCCCTCACGGCCAGTAACCCTTTGCTGGTACTGAAAACAGCCACACTACAGTGCGTTTCAAAAATATACTTGCGCGTGATTTCAAAAAACCATTAGGCCAGCATCTATACCACATAAAATCTGTGATCACTTTGTGCATAAAAATTCCGAAATCGGGCATTTGCTATCCGATCGCTTAAAAATCTCTATGACAGTAATTGCGTGAAGGACCTGAGCAATATTCCGAAACAAATTCTCAAAAAGCTCCAGCCAAATTTGAAATATTTCGAAAATACCATGCGTCTATATTTTTGAAATGAACTGTAGCATGTGGCACGATACGGCCTACCCAGCAGATACTGATGAAGGGGATCCGGTTTGGCCCAGAAGTCGTTATTTGTCGACTCGTGGAGTCATCACTTGTTCTTCAATGCTGTCCCCCATCCGTGTATCCCATTTCTTTTTGTGTTGTATGTGTGCGCCTTCTGTCAACATTGCTTTCTTCTCTATTGTTTTTGCCTG